TGAGTGAATATGAGTTCTAATAAATGTATTCACAATCAGTTGAGTGGAGAGCCTGAGTAAGAAGAATGCTAAACTATAGCTTCCTGAGTATTTCAAAAATGACCATGCATTTAATGTATTATTGGACTTCTGGGTACTGATTGCTAAATTGATTATAGCTTTTCGGTAGCCCAATCTCTTTTTGTCCTATTTCAGCTTGCAAATATAAACCATAACTCCTACACAGTTACATTTGCCATGACCTGAATGAATCTCCCTGTGTAATTTCCACTAATCATTTTTATTCCTCCATCTGTGCAAAAAATGACTTGATATTACCAACTAACCATCTGAATATTTATGGAAAGGCTGCATAGTGCCTGCTTATGTGAAACCACACATATCCTTTCCCATTGCAAATTGAATGCACTGAAAGAAGAGAAAAATATTTTTAAATGTTCTTTCTCTTATTAAATAAAGATACATAAGATGGTTAATGCAACATAATCAAGCTGCATAATATAAGGGTTAACCACAATATTTCAGTTTAATTCTTTGTGGGAGAAAAAGAGTTTTAAAAATTAATGTACAAAATAAGGAGATGGTTTTAAAGCAAAACTATGCTAAATTGGCAGCTTTGCCTCACAATATTTTATTGGAAGATAAGAAGGCAATTTCTGCCAATTTTGCAAAAAGACCTCTATTTCTCTGCCTTAGTTACTATCCCTTGGGCACTTTATATCTTTTCAAGTAGACTAAGAAGATGCTTTTCCTCTAGGGAATGAAGGAAGAAGTAATCTTACCATTTGTTATTCACCATTCCAAGCTCTGGTTTTCTGAGATTGTCAAAGGCAGAGCTATGATGTTGGGAACCACATCTTTCACTCCTGGAACCCATTACCATAGACTTAGTCCAGGCTTTCATCATTTGCAGTTTGAATGTTTTCTATCTTTCCTTGCAACTTTTTGTTTCTTTTGAAATATTTGAATATACTTGACAACTGAAATTGCAAATTTTACTAATTTTCAAACATAGCTTGGTCTCCAAAATTGTCTTTAATAAGATTTACTCAACAGGCTGCATATTTTAACAATCAGCTGGTATGCTTCCTTGATTGTGCTGCATATTTGAATACTTAAGGTTTTATATATTTTTTGATTGAGGCTCATACTTTAATGAGCCACATAAATTTCATCTTTGCAGAGAAGGTTTGTCAGAAACTTAGAGTTGAAGTATTTGGGAGACTTTTTTCCTTGCATCATTGCATGTTTGCTCATGTATGTATGTGTGTTGAGAGAGAGGTTTTGCTGCTGGCTGAGAAGTTGCAGTTAGACATAAGACTAAAGAAAATGCATTTGCTTTAAAAAAAAAAAAAAAAAAGATGAGCACCGATTTCTAGTTCAGGTTAAAACGGAATGGAATTGTGCTTTCATGTAAAAAGAAAAATACTTAGAATCGCATTTCTTTGATATAACATTAATATTTTAGTGGTCAGTCTTCTATACATCTCTGTATGTAGGTATACATGTGGCACAAAGGATAAACTCTCAAATGCCTCAGTTCTGTTAGGGGAGTATATCATTTCCTCGGTTCTATCTCACAACAAAAGTCTGAAGCGATGGACGGACCAGCGTTACAACCCTCAGATGGACCAGTGTTACAACTCAGCTTCATTTAGAAAGTAAAGGAAAATAAATCCTCCAGGCGTGAGGGCATGCCGACACAAAAGATGCAAAGAGAAGATAGGCCCCCGGGCCCAATTTTGGCCTCTCTTTTTATGTGCTTTTTTCTCCTTCCCCTGAGCCTGCCCTATATAAATTGGGCTAGCCAGGAGCGGTTTGTTTTACCTGAGGTTCTCACACCAGTCCTTGAACCATCCTTTGTTCTATTTTCATGGGCTTTTCCCTTCTTCGTCTTTTAGCTACTGCCATTCTGGACTCCTTTTTCCAATTCTAAAAGCTTTATAAAGATGTGCTGGACTTACATCTTTAGGGTAAAATCAGGCAACAGTTTTATTTTTCACTTTTTACTTTTTAAAAGCTCTGATGGTTCTCACTTCCCTGCCCCTTGTCAGCAATGTGGTCAGAACTCAAAAGTTTATAATAGTAACTTTCAGGGAATTAAAAAGTTTAGTCTAAGCAAAATAAATACTTTTATCTTATATTTGATGCAAAGTTTGCTTTCTTTCCCTAGACCAGAGAACAGCAGTAAAAACAAAGTATGTAAGTGTGGTCTTTTCTTTCAGCCTCCTTTCTTCTCCCTCAACTATTATGATTATGAAAATGAAAGTGTTAGGTGCTCAGTCATGTTCGATGCTTTGTGACCCCATGGACTGTAGCCCAGCAGGCTCCTCAGTCCCTGGAGTTCTCCAGGCAAGAATACTGGAGTGGGTAGCCACTTCCTTCTCCAGGTGATCTTCCCAACCCAGGGACTGAACTATCAAACCTGGGTCTCTTATATTGCAGCCAGGTTCTTCACCATCTGAGCCATTAAGGAAGCCCTGCCTCAACAATGATCACAATACATATATATGTATATATATGTCTTTCAATCACTGGAGCTCTCTATTAAACTTTACTGGGTGTCAGTATCTTCTACCATGAGTGTGTAAATGCTCAAACACCATTTCTCTGTCCGTCTGCTTTCTCTTTTTCTGAAGGGACATTTGTGGATTCTTCACCTGCATTTCCTGCCCTGCTGCAGATTTGACTGCATGGAAACCAGGCTTTGCTGACTCTGACTCCTCACACTGACCCCTCAGACCTGGTCTGGCAGGCAATGTGCACCTCAGAGTTTTTTCGATGAAGCCCTGTGCAGGTAAAGCCCTTTTAAGACAGCTTGATTCACCATGTACTAAAGCCAGAGCTGCTCCCTGCATCATGGTGCCGCCATCAAGTGGGAAAGTTTTAGCCCATAGCTTTCCTCTTTCTGCTTTCACAGCTCTTCAGGTAAGAGTGAGATCTGGTAGCCTCCAACTTTGAGGGCGTGTTCCAAGAATTTTTTTAAACTCTTGTTCAACAAACGATGAGTAGAGGATACACTTCAGACCCACAAGACAATCTCTCTTAGGGGCTCAGTTTCCCTAATTATGGTTCAGGGCAAGACAGGGACATTCCCAAGTCCCTCTTCTCTTTCTAATCCCTTCCCTAAAGACTCATTCCTAATAAAGAGACTCCTGTTATGTAGCATATTGGGGTGACAATCACTGGGCCAGTTTAATCACTGTTAGACCCATGGGGATGTGTCCAGCTCCTGTTTTTAGAGAATTCTTTTAAAATGCTCATTTTAAAAAATGTGTCATATTATCTATGATTATCTTCATATGGGTTTTTGCAGTCAAGAATACACTGTGGAATTTTCTCCCAGTCAGCTGGTACAGAATTAATTATTTCTTTAGTGGCTGCATGATTCTATATTCAACTATTTGTCAGTTGAAGGACATTATCTTTCTTCTTTCACTATAATGCTTTAGTAAGCATTTACTGATATTATACTTTTATGGGATAGATTATCAGAAGTGACTGGGTCAATTTTTAATTTAAATTGTTTTCACATGAAAGACTGTGATAATCCATAAACCCAACAGCAATGTATGGAAATTTTTTTTTCTGGAAGCACTGGCTCTGGCAGTATTTAATCTTTCTTTTAAACTAATTTCTATTGTAGCATACTCACAGTATTTAATTTTTCAAAAATGTATTTTGTATTGCTCATCTTTAATTTCTGTTCTTAAAGCTATTTTGATATTATTGTTTATTGGTAATTTGGATGTGTTATTTCAAATTTTCTATTCATAACCAATGATATTTTCATTTTGAGTATTTTTCCCATTTCCTAAAATGCTTCAATATATACATTGAAAAACATGTTTTCAATTTTTAAATATTTTCCTACTAAAATATTCACATATATATAAAAGTAGACAGAATAATATAGTGACTATAGTTTTAAAAATTATTAGCACATTTCAATATTTGCTTAAGACCCTGGTGCTAGGAAAGATTGAAGGCAGGAGGAAAAGGGGGTGACAGAGGATGAGATGGCTGGATGGCATCGATGGGCATGAGTTTGAGCGAGCTCTCGGTGTTGGTGATGGACAGGGAAGCCAGGCATACTGCAGTCCATGAGGCCACAAAGAGTCAGACACAACTGAGTGACTGAACTGAACTGAATTGAGTAGATTGTATTATCGATTGCAATTATTCATCCTTCCTGTAACCAAAGGCACATGACTGAAGTTTCTCCCACAAAACAGAGTATATTTTATGTCACTTAACTTGGGCTCATCCAAATGACTTGCTTCAGTCAATAGAATAAGACAGAAGAAACAACGCTAGTCAGAATCTTGACCTTCAAGAAGGGTGACATACTAGGAACAGAGGGAAATTCCTTAAGTCAGTTAAGGGCCTCTATGGGAAACCTGCAGCTAATACCAACCTGGATGATAAAAACTGAATGTTCTTTCCCTGGAGTTGGGTAAAAGATATTCATTTTCAGAATTGTTATCCATCGTTGCATTGAATACCCTGGGTTCTCCAACAAGGCTAAACAAATAAGATATAAAGATTGAAAAAAGGAGAATCATTTTTATTTACAAATGACACAATTTGATTATTAAAAATTAGAAGAAAATTAGTTTATAAGATTAGCTGGTCAAGAGTGGAAGTTTGAAGAAATATGAAAAAGCACACATTTTCAGAATGTCTGTACTGAGCTCTCATGAGGTACTACAGTAAGTCAAAGTTGCAACATATATGTATATCTACATCTATCTATCTATCTATCTAAATATGTGTGTATATATGCTGGTTTATGCTGAGATATATCTTTTTACTTTTAGGTATCTGTCTCATAGAAAATAAAATTATATTGATTTATATTTCTTAATTATTTAAATAGTGGCCTTGAATTGGTGGATTAGAGATGAGATTTTACTTGGATGGTGTATCTAGGTTACCAACAACATATCATTCATCTATGTGACATCATAATAAAAATTATCTCTAACTCTCATGAACCATTCAGCAACAGTGAAACAGATATGCAAGAGCAATCCTTGATTTGTGTGTTACTTAGAACTCCTTGGAAGGAAATCTAATGGTAAATATTATTTAAAATGATTTTTCTCACACTACTATATGGTAAGAACTGGGATATTACTGGTTGTATTACTATTCATTCATTTGTTAAAGAACACTAGGGCAAGTATCTTTCAAAGCCAGGTGCTGCTAGATATCAGGTAAAGAACTGTGGAAAAAACATAGTTCCTGATATAAACACTTTGCTCCATCCGTAATGGACAATTTCAGATTTTAACTCCACAGAATTCAGGCCTCTTCTGATATTTTAATGAGTTTGTAAGTCTGGAATTACAAAAAGACTGAGATTTTACTCTGCTTGCAAGATAAATTATCTTACTTCAGTTGCAAATATGCTAGCAGAAAAACAGAAAACCTCTGGGCCAGAAAGACAAAGTTTATTACTCACAAAAATGACAGTAGGCAGAATATTATCTTTGTGCTGCTCAACTGAGCCCCAGTTCCCATACAGCAACATGATTAGGGAAGGGTGTTGAATCTTACACAGTGAGAATGTATTATACAGGAGGAAAGCCAGAGATTAGGAAGCCTTCACTCTTTAAGAGGGGCTGCTGCCAACCTGAATATCCTATTTTTTCAGAGAGACATCATCTAATTTATTACCTTCGAATGTAAGTGAATCTTTTCTAGAGATGCGAGTGAGGCATCTCTATTTTTACTATACTGGAATATAAATAAAACTGAAAACAATTGATTATTAATGCCTAGACATGAAGTAACATGAGAGATTCACAGATAATTAATTTCTAGCAAAGGTAAGGCCTCTTTATACTTCTACAAAGGATTAACATATGAATAAGTGGACAACCTCTTGCCTCTATTCTGTACACAGTACTTTACTGAAAAGGTATAAACAACCTAAAGCTAATTCAAAAATAAATTTGTCCTGAAATGATGGAGAAAACTCTTTTCCCCACTGAACATGCACAAAGTGTAATTGGACAAGATTAGTACATTCAAAACCTGCATTCTTTAAGAGTATAACTTAATAACAAGTTAGTGAACATTGAAAACATATTGACACATATGATTGAAAATGAATTGGGCCTGGTCCCTTCCAACAAGCAGCTTAACAGTCAGTTGGTTGGGATCAGGAGGTAGGGATTGTAGGGACAAAAATTACTGCTGTATCGAGTGGAGACAGGATGGGACAGGGAAGTCTGGCATGCTGCAGTTCCTGGGGTTGCAAAGAGTTGGATATGACTTAGAGACGGGACAATAACAAGTAGAATGAGGCAACAGAGCACAGTTATTAAGAATATACATTCTGTAGACTTTTCTTAGCTTCCCTAGTTATGGTTTAGACAGTTTATTTAAACTTTCTCTAGCTTTTTTTTTTTTGTTGTTTAATCTGTAATGACAACCTGGTACTATAATTTAATTCTTGAAAAAAGTGTCTGGAATAATGCATGTACTAGTAATACATGTAAATATTAATAGTATTTATACTATACTAATAGCATTAATACTAATATTAATAGTACATGTAATATAATAGTAAACATACCATACATTTTAGCTATTATTATTATGTTAAATAATAAATATGGCTATATTTAAATTGCTTTCAATTTATTGTTGAAAAAGCACCAACACTATATTTTTTTAACTTTCTTCATAGCACTTATTACTGTCTAAAATTATCACATATATAAACATGCATGTTTATTGTAGGCTCCTTTCCATATATATGTTTACTCATTTGTTCAGATCCCTCTCAGTATACGATAATTTTGAAAACAACAAAGACGTTTTCTGTTTTATTTTTCCTATATTTAAACTCTTAGAAAATTATCTTGCACAAAGTATAATCTAAGTAAATGCCATCAAGTGAAGTCTACATAGATGGTGTTGCAGGGAGGAGGCCAATTCTGACTCCATATTAGACCTGTTTCTTAGACGTGCTTTTTGTTGCTTTTCTCATTATAAGCATATAGATTGGCTTGCCTCAGAGAATCCTGCCCCTCTGCCTAACTGATAAACTAGAATGCCTTTAATCAGAACCCTGTCCACTTGTGGATGGCAGGAATGAAGAAATGAACACATCCCCTGCCTGAGGCTTGCCATTCTAGAAGATGTTTGCAAGATTAATGACCTTTTTCACATTGCTTCCTCACCTCCCCTCACTTCTGATCTATAAAAGAACCTGGCATCCAGACCGCATAAGATGGTTATTTTGAAGCACTATCCTGCCTTCTTCTCAGTCTGCCGCCTCCCGGATTAGTCTCTTTCTTGCCTCAACACCTCGTTGCTCCATTTAACTGGATTCATTGGCCTATCATGTGGTGAGCAGAGCGAGCTTGGACTCAGTAACAATGGGAAAATAAAAAGTGCTTGGAACTTCTCAAGCACACATGTATTGATATAGTATAATGTGCGTTTGGTGCTCATTGGCTGGAAATAAAGCTGGAAAACTATGATAAAGATAGTTTTCAAAAAACAAATTTCAAAAACATAGTGTGTTCTTACCAACATACTATGCTAAGAACTTGAGATTTTAATCTTGAAACAGAGTATCATCAGTTTCTTCAGCAAGACAACAATCTGCAAATACTTTCTTTATTAAAAAAAACTAGGTCAGCAATATTGAGACTGAACTGAATGGTGAGAGAAGAGAATGGATACATGCATATTATGTAGAAAACTAAAACCTCAGATAAGAGATGACAACTGCCTGCAATAGGTCTTACAGGAAGGATTCAAACGATATTTTGCAGATATAATGGACCAGATTGGTAATTCCATACAAGGGATCAAATCAGGTATACAGTCAACAGAAATGACGTTACAGATTGCAATTTGAATGTACTGTGTGACTCACTCACTTGAAAACTTCAACTACTGGTAACTCTCAATAGAGGTGTAATGGTTCTCCAAGGGAATTTAAAAGAGGCCAAAGTAAATACATCTAAATTGAGTCCATGCACTAATTTCTATAAAAGGAAGGCAGCTGCCTCTACAAAGAGCTAAAGGAATAGAAACAAACTGATATTTTGTTTAAAAAGGTTTAAATGAACTTATTACAAACACCCATCTGGCTGTACTTATTACTCCTGTAATTAAAGACAATGTTATTTCAAGTCTCAAAGATCAATAAAGGCTCAAACCAAAGTCTACAGAAATGATATTAAGGGGAAAAAATCTGTTTAAGGAGAAACTTTCAGTAAAAGTTTAAGAACTTCTTTCCTTATAATTACACATCCCAATTTAAAAAGTGTGTATGGTGATACAGTTCACTATAACAAAGTACTAAAAGAATTCTTCCTCAGAAAGAAACCACAATGTTTCAGACCAAAGAAGCATACAGATAATAGAGCTACAGAAAAAAAAATTTTTTTTTAATCTGGAGCTATGCTTTGTCTGGTTCCATGTTTCATCTGGATCTTTGCAGAAAGCAGCTTTATCAGAGCAAACTAGAAAAGATTTTAAATATAAAATGGAAAGGCTAAAGTTATTTGATGTTAGACATTCAGCTACAGGTACTGAAGAGTCAACCAAGTTATATGTAAAGAAAGTCATGGTTTGTTCAGACCTTAAGGAACTGCTGAAGAATAAACAGCAGACTCTCTTCCCAGACAAAGGAAATATCACATTTGGATGCTGGCTTTATGTTTAAAACATTTCACCAGCTAGAGAAAAAGTGTTCAGTATGTTAGTGGACGCTGGAAGCAAAAACAACTCTGGCTTTTTTTTTTTTAATATTACTATTTCATTTTCTAGTCCCATTTACATACTTTTATTTATATGCTACAAGATATAGGGTGCAATCAGTTCAGTCGCTCAGTCATGTCCAATTCTTTGCGACCCCATGGACTGCAGCACACCAGGCTTCCCTGTCCATCACCAACTCCTGGAGTTTACTCAAACTCATGTCCATCGAGTCAGTGATGCCATCCAACCATCTCATCCCCTGTTGTCACCTTCTCGTCCTGCCTTCAATCTTTCCCAGCATCAGGGTCTTTTCCAGTGAGTCAATTCTTCGCATCAGGTGGCCAAAGTACTGGAGTTTCAGCTTCAACATCAGTCCTTCCAAAGAACACCCAGGACTGATCTCCTTTAGGATGGACTGGTTGGATCTCCTTGCAGTCCAAGGGACTCTTAAGAGTCTTCTTCAACACCACAGTTCAAAAGCATCAATTCTTTGGCACTCAGCTTTCTTTATAGTCCAACTCTCACATCCATACATGACCACTGGAAAAAGCATAGCTTTGACTAGAAGGACCTTAGTCAGACAAGTAATGTCTCTGCTTTTTAATATGCTGTCTAGGGTGCAATAACAGTAACATATTGTTTTTTTCCTTTTGGTAAAGGAGTGCTTTATTGAAAACTCTGAAATATCTGTCTATAATCACTACCCAAAACTACCCAAGAGACTTAAACAGCTGGTTGAGAATGAGGACATGATGAAAGCTTACAGTACCATAGAGAAGAGGGCGTAGACTATGCGTACAAGGATAATCTTGTGGGAGTCTTCTGCTTGCCTTCTCAGTTACCATTTGCAATCCAATGCTTAGTGTTCTAAACAGAAAAGGACAGAGTTTCCTTTGTGTTATGAAGAGGATTAAGTAACGTTTTCATGGGCTTCCCAGGTGGCACTAGGAGTAAAGAACCTGCCTGCTAATGCAGGAGACCCAGGACACATGAGTTTGATCCCTGGGTCAGGAAGATCCGCTGGAGAAGGAAATGGCATCCCACTCCAGTATTCTTGCCTGGAGAGTCCCATGGACAGAGGAGGCTGGCAGGCTATAGTCCATGCGGTTGCAAAGAGTCAGCCATGACTGAAGCAACTTTACATGCATGCAAGTAATGCTTTCAATCCATGAAGCATTAAAGCACTCATAGATGATTTCCTTCTCTATGTAATGTTTTCTAATACATAATTAGGTTGTCACCACCTCTCTCAAATTTACCTGAATTTAATCACAGATGTGAATTAAAGTCCATGTCAACATAAGGGTTTTAAAAGGGAAGAAGGAAGGAAGGAAAGGTAAATGAATAAACACTCAAGTCTATAACCAGGAAAGATAGCCATTTATCCTGTTGTTCAATTCTCAAAAGAGTCATTTTGATTTCTTACTAGGATATCAGAATATGATATCCTAGATCTTGAGTATCACATGATAATATTTGTTCTGGCTGTATTTGTTAGAGAAGAAATAGCTTACCAAAGAGAATAGCATGGAAGGAGGAAGTGTTGTGGTTCATTCTAAGACTAAATAGAGATGTGCTCAAATAGCGTTATTATCTGTCTCTTCTTCTCTGATGCTGTTGTTGCTATTATAATATTATTATCATTACTAGTTATGCTTTTATCCCATTGGTTGTGTTTTCAAGCCAGACCCCTCATCTGCTCAGACTTATGTGGTGCTTATAATTTACAATTTCAGAAGAAAAAAATATCATAAGTTTTTTAAGAGAAAGCAGCTCGAGCCAGTATTGCTTAGAATCCTAGTCTTGAAATTTACTAGAAGAGTGACCTTGCTTCTCTGAGCTTCTGTCTCTCTATAAAATGAGGATAATAATAGTATTAAAACTCATAAAGTTACTGAGAGAACTAAATAATTTCTTCTGCATAAATCAAATAGTGTTTGGCATATGAGAAACGCTCTATTCAAATTATCTAAAAAATAAATGCAAGTGTAACCAATTTCCTTCACAGTGAGAATACTGCAAGGGTCCTGGCTGACTCTGCCTGGGGAATGCACTCACTCACCTGTGAACCGACCTCTGTGCTCTGAGTGAAGACACAGCCAATACACAGGGCGGGAAGTGAAGACCTTCTCTGATATTGTCACAGGAATCACATGAAAATGGGGGAGGGAAATTCTCAGAATCAGAGCAGGAAGAAAAATAATTAGCTGTGAACTGTCTTCATTAAGACTGTCCTGCAAACAAGGGTATATTTCAGTGTTCAGGTAGAAGCTGTCAGGAATGGAAGCAGAAGGAATGGAAGCAAAACATAGGTTAACATTTTTCAAGCCAGGTCCTTCTACTCACCTGCTTCTACTATGTCTCCCCTTTACTCCACTGTATCCTTCCCCTCCCCTCAGGGCCTCAATAACTCTCTCTACTTCCCAGCATCCTGGGATCACACTGTGGCTTTAGTATGTGACTATGCTCACATACTAACCCTGATGCTGGGAAAGATTTAGGGCAGGAGACCAAGTCTTCTGTTCATTATGTACTGATTATAATATTTTAAAGATATGTTGGCAGATAAGACAACAGTAGAGTAAACCCAGGAGCTCTCTACTGAAATGCACACACTGAGCTAAGCAAACATACAAGTATTTTTGCCCTTTTGGGAAGTGTTCAGCTCATCTTTCTTATTTCTAATTCACTCAAAGACTCAGCCTGACTAATTCATACTCAGAACAAATTGCATAACACTCCAAGACTGACACATCCAAAGTTCATCCATTGTGTAGTAGCTTGACATTAGAAAAGGGCAAGTTTTGAAAAACGAATAAAATAGATTTTCTCACTCTGTTGGTCATGTCTCAAAAACAGCTGAAAAGGTTTTTTTGAAACTTAAATCTCAAACAGTGCATCATTCAACTTTCACCATTTTAACACTGATACCATTAAGATTTGAAACAATTATTTCTGAAAATCTAAATATCTCAATGTTTTAAATGTCATTAAAATATAAGTTCCATGAGGATAATTACTTTGTCTCTTTAAGTCATAAAACAAAGGCCTTAACCCAGTGTTTTTCACTTAATAAATACTTTTTAAAACTAAGTGATCAATTTAATGAATACTTTTTTTAAAGTTTCATTATGGAATATAAGCACTGCATGATAGCAAAATGCACAGCTGGGTAACTCTCAGGTTATTGATTTATGAAAATAATTGTAGCACTGTCTTGGTTATACAAGCATCATTAATGTATGACACCAACAATAGGCAAGAAACATTCGAGTAAATTTATATCAGTTCAGTTCAGTTGCTCAGTCATGTCCAATTCTTTGCGACCCCATGGAGTGCAGCACACCAGGCTTCCCTGTCTATCACCAACTCCCTGAGATTACTCAAATTCAGGTCCATTGAGTTGATGATGCCATCCAATCATCTCATCCTCTGTCATCAGGGTCTTTTCCAATGAGTCAGTTCTTTGCATTGGGTGGCCAAAGTGTTGGAGTTTCAGCTTCAACATCTGTCCTTACAATGAATATTCAGGACTGATTTCCTTTAGGATGGACTGATTGGATCTCCTTGCTGTCCAAGGGACTGTCAAGAGTCTTCTCTGACACCACAGTTCAAAAGTATGAATTCTTCAGCAATTAGCTTTCATTATAGTCCAACTCTCACATCCATAAATGACTACTGGAAAAACCATAGCTTTGACTAGATGGACCTTTGTTGGCAAAGTAATGTCTCTGCTTTTTAATATGCTATCTAGGTTGGTCATAACTATTCTTCCAAGGAGCAAGCATCTTTTAATTTCATGGTTGCAGCCATCATCTGCAGAGATTTTGGAGCCCCCCAAAATAAAGTCTCTCACTGTTTCCATTGTTTCCCTATCTATTTGCCATGAAGTGAAGGGACCGGATGCCATGATCATAGTTTTCTGAACGTTCAGTTTTAAGCCAGCTTTTTCACTCTTCTCTTTCACTGTCATCAAGAGGCTCTTTACTCCTTTGCTTTCTGTCATAAGGGTGGTGTCATCTGCATATCTGAGGTTGTTGATATTTCTCCAGGCAGTCTTGATTCCAGCTTGTGCTGCATCCAGTCCAGCACTTCTCATGATGTACTCTGCATATAAGTTGAATAAGCGAGGTGACAATATACAGCCTTGACATACTCCTTTCCTGATCTGAAACCAGTCTGTTGTCCCATGTCCAGTTCTAACTGTTGCTTCTTGACCTGCATACAGATCTCAGGAGGCAGGTCAGGTGGTCTGATATTCCCATCTCTTGAAGAATTTTCCACAGTTTTTTGTGATCCACACACTCAAAGGCTTTGGCATAGTCAATAAGGCAGAATAGATGTTTTCCTGGAACTCTCTTGCTTTTTCAATGATCCAATGGATGTTGACACTTCGATCTCTGGTTCCTCTGCCTTTCCTAAATCCAGCTTGAACATCTGTAAGTTCATGGTTCACATACTGTTGAAATCTGGCTTGGAGAATTTTGAACATTGCTTTACTAGCATGTGAGATGAGTGCAATTGTGTAGTAGTTTGAGCATTCTTTGGCATTGCCTTTCTTTGTGATTGGAATGAAAACTGACCTTTCTCAATCCTGCGGCCACTGCTGAGTTTTCCAAATGTGCTGGCATATTGAGTGCAGCACTTTCACAGCATCATCTTTGAGGATTTATAATAGTTCAACTGGGATTCCATCACCTCGACTAGCTGAATTTATATTAGTACTAAATTTGCAGATGTATCACTTCTTAAGTATACCTGTGACATATTATTCAGGCCTGCTTCATTTTAAAGCAGGAACTGACCTAATTCAAATTGGCTTTGTTAAGAAAAAGAATTTATTAGGAATGTAAATATGACTTGTAGGAATCTAGATTGATTAAACCTCAGGACATTTGGATCTGGGGGCTAAAATAATATACCAGAGCTCTAGTTCTCCCTTCATCTCTTACATCTCCTTTTGTCAACCTCTGTTTATTTTTCAACTACATCATCAGGTTCTATTCTAAAATGAAGAGAGCTTTTTGGTCATGTGCCCCGCCCTGAACAGTTACTGTATCAGAGGCTTTGTATACACTGATTGTCCCAGATCTTGGGATGTGTGCCTACTCAAGAAGCAAAAAGATTACTGTAAGTAACAGACATACTAGGGGTAGGGATGGGATTGTTCCTTATTGAAAGGGTTGGGTACCTTGGTTACACAAATGGTCTCAATTATTCACATTTCAGTGTTTGCATACCCTTTTCAGTACAATGTGACTTTGCAGCTTTTGCTGAGTGGGGAGTCTGTTTCACTACCCTTTGAATCTGGGATGGCTTTGCAACTTGCTTTGGTCAATAGAATGTTTCTTCTTTCTTTTCTGACTGCTGCCAACTACGATGGGAATAAGCACTGGTGAGACCAATGGATAATGAGAGACATGTGGTGATCTGTCCTAGGGAAGATACTGACATGTTCCAGATATGGCTGCCCTGCCCTCCAATCTCCTACATATGCATGAATGAACTCAGGTGAGATCCAGCAACTTTAGATAAAGAAACTTTAGATAAAGAAATATATAAATCCAAACCAACTTTAGATAAAGAAATATATACTGAACCAAAAAAAAAAAGTGTTGAATTACTGATTCAATGATTAAATGATGAGTGGATTTCCATTTTTTATTAAAATTATCTCTAAAAGAAAATAAAATATTTTCCTACAAAATTAGGTAAATGACAACAACATCTAGTGGAATAATTTTATAATTTCCCACAATGGGTATTATGAAAAACAATATTCTTTAAAGTGAATGTCCTGTTATGTCTATTAAATTGAACAATCTTATTGCCTAAGAGATGCAAGTCCTGAAAGTGGTCAGTAAAAGATTAGAGAATTCATCATTATAAGACAAGGACAGATCTTATGGCTAAAATAAAATGATAAATAATGTTAAAATAGATGTAAACAATATTATTCTTTTGTGACAGACCACCAATTAAGCCATGGTTTTTTTAATCTTTTTTCTTTTTTTTCTTTTTACATTTTAAAGCAAGATGAAGTAAGAAATTAATGTATTAATAATACAAAGTATGCAAAGTTAAATAAAGGAGTGACTTCACCTAACCAGAACAAAACCAGTATCGATGAAATGAAAATCTAAAACATAGGAAGTTTTTTTTTTTTCCTTACTAGAGCAGCAGAGTGAATAGCAACTTGAAATATAATGTTTAGGCTAGCTATAGGGAAATTTCCAATGAGTAAGAAGAAGCCAGAGAGTCATTTCTTGATACAATTTTCTCACAATGATATCATGTTACTCAAAGTCTCACTTAATAGCCTCTCAAATATAACTCAAGATCACCCGAGAGAGTAGCAATCCTCCTAAACCTGTCCATGTACTTTCTGAACTGCTGCAATAAAGATTAGGCAAGAATATAAAGAAGATAACTTTTTACACTAACTAGATCATGTCTAAAGAACAACTTTATGAGGCTACATTTCCCTGTTTAATCAAATCATATTCCTATTAGTAGTATCTGTATGGATGACTCTATCATTTATAGTTGATTAAATGTTGTGTTTTTAATTGTAAAATGGGCTTCAAGCCCCTCATCATGAAAAATAGAAAACTATGAAAGATTACTAGTATTAACATATCGGCAACTTAATTCTGAATCTTACCAATTTTTTCATCCAGAAACAAAGTAAAAGTTGGGAAATATCTATAAGCAGATTTTCAACAAGAGCAACAAAAAGCCTCTGTGATGTGAAACATGAAAATTGCAATATGACTTTAAGCATAATCAAAATTAATTGAGACCAGTAGACCAGTGTAAGAATTTCTATAAGAAGTTACACAGAGAGCCAAGCTGCAGAACCCTATCAATGGTAATCTCAGAAACCTCCAGTTAAAAATCATCCCCAGAAGGTGAGGTCCCGGTCATTAGTAAGAAATGGTACGAACAGGACTGTTTCTTTGCAGGTGTAGCAGTGAAGAAATAGAGAGAAGGTGAGGAAAATGCAGAGCGTACTGCTTTGAAAGTACCAGCAGAAAAACACCTTCCAAAAGTAATAGGAAAATCATGTTGGATGCATTAATGGGAGGCAGCACCTGATGAAGAAACTTTGGGAGCATAGGTCAGGTAGGGAAAAGCCTCTAGCACCTGCTTAAATTCGGAGATGCAGAAAAGTCATGGCTGGACAGAAGACAATATTGGGAAAAAATCTCAAATTATCTTATCATGTGAGGAAGAAGCCCTTTGCAGAGGCTAGAGAAGTTTACCCAGTCACTCTTGTTTATACCCCGCCTTGTCAGGAATGAAATTCTTGCAAAGAACTAGCACAGAAATCGCCACTTGCCCAAATATAGGTAATCAAAAGGAAGACAGAAAATATTCAAATAAAGATTAGATAAGTGACAGAGAGCTACTTAAAATCTTTCTACAAACTAATTCCTCAAGTAAATGTTTCCATGGAATAAGCATTACAAGCCCTGTACCATGAATTAAAAACAACTGAGTGATGATGAACCAAGCAGAGAATGCAGGGAAAGTTCAAGAATACAAGAACTCGCGCAAGATACGGCCAGACAACCCATAAACGTGAAAGAACTGACAGAACTCCAAAGAGAAAGGATCACAAAGCATAATAAAACTCCTAGAGAAATGAGAAAAAGTTAAAGGCCCAACAATGTATAAAAATCTATATTTAACTGCTCTGATTGAAATGGCTCCTTAAATCGCATTATGCATTTTAGCTTTTTGTTTGTTGGCTTTTATGGTCTCCTTGTCCACTCACAATCAAGTAACACATTATTTTATCACTGGTTTAATAAACCTTATAGTGCTATTTTTCCTTCATTGCTCTTCTTTTCAGTATTTCCCCTCTCCTGCAATCATTGTCATTATTGTTTTATTATTATAACAGTCATATAAAAGACATCTCTGTGTGCATGTGTACGTGTGTGTTTGTATTTGAAACACCTTTATTTATTCAAGTTTGTGAGCCATTCACTTATGTTTTCTTCTAGTATTCATGGCTTTATTATTATATTTTTACATTTGAATCATTAATTCAATTGCAGTTTACACTAATATATGGTATGTATTATGGGCCAGTTTTATCATTTCCAGATGAATACCCAGTTTGAGCATCATTAATTTAAATAAAGTTCTCTGAAAACAAACAATCTTATACATTGCTGGAGGGAATACAAAATGATTCAGCCCTTATGGAAGGTATTTAGCAATATCTATCAAAAATATTCAACTACATTTTCCCTTTTCATCAGTAAAGCTATTTCAGAAGTTATCCTGAAGTTATTCCTCCACAGGTGTAAAGCAATGAGTATATCATAAATCTGAATGATTGAAATAGCAACAGACTGAAAAAACCCCATCTATTCCATGATAAAGTCTTTTATAATTGAAACCAAAGTATATCAATATAATGAATTATTATGCTAGTATAAAAATATGAAGCTCTGTCCATATATATATTGTGTATATATATATATATACACACACACACATATATATACATACATACACACATATACATATATAGACAGACATGGGGGAAATGATTCACTATGTACTAAGCAAAGATATTGGAATTGTGAAATAGTATGCTCCTTTTGCTTAAGAAACTGAGATAACAAGAATATGTCCACATTTGCTCATATTTGCATAAAGAAGAGTTGAAAGAGTATCTAAGAAACTGAAGAAGTGGTTAACAACAGATGTAAGGAAAATAACAGGGAAAGGAACTGGGTAAAGATGGTGACTTCCCAACTGTTTCAAGATTTACATATAGGCAATTACCCATTTCAAAAATTTATAATGTATCTTTTTAAGAGGACACTTTATTAACGCCTGCTTCAGATCATATTAGTGCAATGTTAAACTATGTATATTATAAAACTAGGCAACCCACCTGAGGTTGCTCAGATCAATGACTGTTTATCACCAGGTTATCACATCTATATTTCTCCATAGATCTCTAACATCACTGCAGTCTTGTAAGCAGAAGCACTGAGTCAGATGTTCAAGGTTTTCTTTTCAAGGATATTTATAGAGCAGGTAGACTTAGAAGAGAAAGACAGTATCTCCATATGGAGCAAAGAGAGGCTTATTTCTTTTCCAGTATAATAAAGATAATGTCTCCCTACAAAGCAACGGGACAGGTTTGCTTACAGCCCGTTATGAAAAGCTGGAGTTGCCTGAGATGGTGGTTTTTCACCTAAATCACTGACTACATGTCAGGACACCATCTTGTCTATCTGCATCAGCCTGTGGAGATTTAGGCTTGGGACCACCACACACACACACACACACATACACACACACACACACAAATATGGTCACACATTGGTTACTACCTTTGTGACTGGAAATAGACTATTGTCTCTAAGCCCAGAATCTCATGTTTGCTGCCAGCATCCATAAAATGTCAGTAACCTAGCTTATTAACTTCCAAGTAGCATAAAGTAACACACACACATATATATACATACATACACACATATACATATATAGACAGACATGGGGGAAATGATTCACTATGTACTAAGCAAAGATATTGGAATTGTGAAATAGTATGCTCCTTTTGCTTAAGAAACTGAGAGAACAAGAATATGTCCACATTTGCTCATATTTGCATAAAGAAGAGTTGAAAGAGTATCTAAGAAACTGAAGAAGTGTTTAACAACAGATGTAAGAAAAATAACAGGGAAAGGAACTGGGTAAAGATGGTGACTTCCCAACTGTTTCAAGATTTACATATAGGCAATTACCCATTTCAAAAATTTATAATGTATCTTTTTAAGAGGACACTTTATTAACGCCTGCTTCAGATCATATTAGTGCAATGTTAAACTATGTATATTATAAAACTAGGCAACCCACCTGAGGTTGCTCAGATCAATGACTGTTTATCACCAGGTTATCACATCTATATTTCTCCATAGATCTCTAACATCACTGCAGTCTTGTAAGCAGAAGCACTGAGTCAGATGTTCAAGGTTTTCTTTTCAAGGATATTTATAGAGCAGGTAGACTTAGAAGAGAAAGACAGTATCTCCATATGGAGCAAAGAGAGGCTTATTTCTTTTCCAGTATAATAAAGATAATGTCTCCCTACAAAGCAACGGGACAGGTTTGCTTACAGCCCGTTATGAAAAGCTGGAGTTGCCTGAGATGGTGGTTTTTCACCTAAATCACTGACTACATGTCAGGACACCATCTTGTCTATCTGCATCAGCCTGTGGAGATTTAGGCTTGGGACCACCACACACACACACACACACATACACACACACACACACAAATATGGTCACACATTGGTTACTACCTTTGTGACTGGAAATAGACTATTGTCTCTAAGCCCAGAATCTCATGTTTGCTGCCAGCATCCATAAAATGTCAGTAACCTAGCTTATTAACTTCCAAGTAGCATAAAGTCTCAGATCCCATCACAGTCTTGACAACATTTGATTTGTATAAGAAGGTTTGTGATAGATATCTGATGGCCACATAAGTTTCCTGATCTCATAAATAATTCTTAAATATTAGTTCAATCTTGTGATCAATTAAAGCACTTATATGCTTTTGTGTGTGTATGCATGTGTGTATTTTGTAGGAAAGTGATAGTCACTCAGTCGTGTCCAACTCTTTTGCAACCTCGCGGGCTGTAGCCTGTGAGTTTCCTCTGTCCATGGAATTCTTCAGCAAGAATTTTGGGGTGGGTAGCCATTTGCTTCTCCAGGGGTCTTCCCAACCCGGGGATTGAACCTGAGTCCCCTACACTGCAGGCAGATTCGTTACCACTTGAGCCAAGAGGGAAGCCCACGGATTACTTGTCAGGAGTGGGATACGAACCCACATCTCCAGGGGAGACTATGACCTAAACACAGCACCTTAGACCACTCAGCAATCCTGATAGACTCTTAAAGAAAAGGGTATAGAAAAATTGAGTTAGACTAGTCAAAGCATTTTCTATCCCTTAGAAATGTACTTATGAAGGAAACTGCACTGCACTTATGAAGGAAACTGTCGTCCGTCTAAGACTACATTTGAAGTATCTTAGAGGGATTTTCTAGATGACTTTCTTATGAATGGAAAACGCTTCTTAAAAAGTTAAAATAATAATGCTAAAAGAAGGAAAAGAACCAGTATCAGATAGCTAATTATACTCAAGATATACTTTGAAAAGCAGCAATTAGACTTTGACCAAACTTGGTATTAAATGATTGCTTGTACTGAACTTCAAATTATCTTTAAAATAACAGAAAAAAAATATAAAACAGTAAGCACAGAAAGACTCAATTTTTATATCAGCATGTGGATGAAACTAGAAGAATGAAAATTTTAATAGTGATGTCTTGTGGGTATTGATATACCATATAATCTTTAGTTGCCTACTTGTGTATTTCAGTATTTACTGATTTAAAACCAAAAACAAAACAGAAGCTAGCTTTATATCCAAAGTTTTAACTATTAAAAAATAAATTTTTATCTAATTCCTTTTTTCTCCAAAATGGTTTCTGAGTATATAACAATGGTGTCACATGTCCACATTATTTTTCTAATGGCTTTTCTAAAAATGTAAACTAAAAAATAGCACAATGCAATTCATAGTTTCATTGTAATTCAGAGAAAATGCATGGACACTGATAGGAATAAGTCACTCTAATGACCGAATGTTTGAGGTATCCCTCCTTTATTTAAACATATGTTTTGACAATATTTTATAGTTGCTTCAAATACATTTGATTTATTAATTTAAGCCCAACATGCTACTTTTAAAAATTATGAAAGTCAACAGTTTTTAATCTCTTTTTACTTATCACTGAGTTGGCCAAGCAGGACTCTTCTCCCTCTCTTTCTCTCTAATATTGCCCTTTTGGAATCATATAGCAGTTTTTGATAACAATAATACTCTGAAGTTTTTGAAGGGGAATATGGTTTAATGTATTATTCCTGATATAGAGGGTGAAGAGATCAAGACACATTTTTCTTTAATTTGTTGAAGATACACTTGTGAGTTTCTTAATGAAAAAGTGGCCTGAGTTTGGAGAGCCAAACTCCAAACTTCGTTTACTCCATATTAAAATCTACTCACTAACCCAAGGTCTTAATGACTGTCCTCACCATTTACAAAGATTTATTTTATTGAAGCATTAAAGTACTAGTTTTTCACAGAGTAAAGAGGAAAAATAATTAAGGAACTCAAAAGTTCTTTGAAGTGTGGTTCTCCAAGCTCAGCACCACTGGCAATCATCTCCTAATTCTCTGTTGTTGAGGCAGTGGGGTGGGGGAGGGGAGGGTCAGACGGCCGTAAGGAGGGTGATATCCAGTCCAGGGAAGCACATTTAGTAGCATCCCTGGCCTCTGTCTACTAGATGCTAGCAATCTCTTCATTCACGACAACCAAAAACATAATATTTCTAGACATTGCCAAAATGTCCCATAAGGCAAAATCACCCCCAGTTAAATACCAATGATATAACTATAATCAAAATTTCCCTTATATATTAGTAGGTTATGTTAACTGGCAGAAATAGGGATGGGCTATGTTAGCTAAGAGATATGTTTTATTACAGTCTTAGCCTTGTTCACACTCTTAGATATTGGTAATTTCATCTTGCTATCATTAGTTCCTCAACTGTTTTTACTCAGTAAAGTAAGGAAGCTTCTGGTGGGTGTGTGAGAAGAGGTTGCTGTCCAGTGAGAATGAAGCAATGGCATTTGGCCCATAAAAAAAGCTGACACTCCCAGAGAGTCAGAG